TATATATATATATATATATATATATATATATATATATATATATATATATATATATATATACATAATATATATATATGTATATATTTATTATCTCTATATATACTATATTATATATATATATATATATATATATATATTATATTATGTATACGGTGTATTTGATGTATATTTATGAAATATATACAAATAGTTATATACATCACATTCAACAGATGATCAAATAAGTGGCGTAAAGCTGGAATTTTCGGAAACATGGAAGTAAACCCATAGCATTGTTCCAGCGACAGGCCCGATAACCTTGGCGCCGAACGAGAAGCTTCGAATGTAACAATAATATATTGGCTGGACGCGGAGAGGTGATTTTAAATACAGCTGGACTCGCTGCTTAACTTCCTTCTATGTACCGGAGATTTCACAATCCTTCGCACGACCGCAGTTTGGTATAGTATAATTAGCTGTTGGCAGAGTGCTCAGGCACGGTTAAGGCATTTGAAGGAAGAATATTGTAGTAACAGTGCAATAAACACCGAACAACCCTGTACTATTGCTCTTGATGCGATCTGTATTGGTGACTTGAGATTTGGTCGATCACACACTGACTCGCTACAATAGATTACTGACTTTATATTAAGTCTCACATGGATGGATGACATATTAGTTAGGTGTATACACATCAGCCCGAATAGCTTTCAAACAACTGTCTGCACAGCTTGCAATTCTTTTGCGAGCAAAAGAGATTACCGATATTGTTAGTATAAGATTTTGTTGGTACACATAGAAACAAGCAGTGAGCCTTATTCTCAGCCGACAGTAGATGTAAACTTAGGATTGTAGTAGTACTTAGGATTGTAGTAGTGTGCGTTGCCCGCATCTTCTTCTTACCCCACTAAAGGAGACCAAGTGGGCATTAACTATACAAAATATACATACAAAGTCATGCCACACACGAATACGATGGCTCGGATTTGAAGCCGTGTGTCCAGCTGAACAATATTCGGCAGCGCATCTGTCCATACTTGAAGTTTCATCAAAAGTAGCTATAAAATGCCGAAATTGTGCTATTAAAGCTCTTTAAAAATTAGTGTTGTACCTTGGATATATGTGCACAATATGAAAAGCTTTTGTGGTACTCGTGGCGACTGTAGCTCTTACAATGGTGGCCAATTTAGGTGGCTCAAATTGCAAGTGGCGGTTTAGGTGGCTCTTTCAGGTGGCATCAAGAATTCCACATAATTTTAGGGTCATAATTTTTAGTCATAAGGTATTTAGGCTTTCAAGAGTAATCGAAGTCTTCAGTCTCTCGGACTCTCGGACTCTCTCTCTCTCTCTCTCTCTCTCTCACTTTCTCTCTCTCAAGCGAGAATAGAGAGTACTTATTACTCTATAATGAAGAGTAGAGAGCTGCTTTTGCTTTTATTACTCCGTTGGGGCTCTAATGGGTTTTAGGCACACATTTAAAAAAAATAATATATATATATATATATACTGGAGTCTGGAGGTCAATTTTTTCTTCGTCTTTTGAAATTTGAAGACAGAAATAGAAAAGGGCAAACTATGATTTATCAGATATCAGTTATCACTGTATCAAACTATCAATTCCGGAGCATAGAGTGACTCTGGAGTCTGGAGTCTCGACGGCTCTGAAAGAAAAGAATACAAAACCAAAAAGCGTCAATTGGACGGAGTCCCTGGCAGCCGGCTTGTCGCCGGTCTTTGAGAAAAATTCTTTTGTCGTTTTTCTAAAAACGATATAAAAAATAGAAAAAAGAAAGACACCTGTGGGCTGTGAGGCTGTGGGCGGGGTCGTGGGCCGTGGGCCGTGAGCCCTTGAGTCCGTGACCCGCCTAAATACCACTATTTAGACAATATGTTTAAAAAAAAAACAAACATTAGCAATAGCATAGCCTTCTAAATTATACAGAAGGCTATAAAAATAGCCTTCTAAAGATTTTTAAAAATAGGCAATACAAAAAAAAAGCCTTTTGTTTTGTACATTTGTACTTCTATTTTTTTTTATAAGGTTATGAATATTGTATATTATTTATAAAGAAAAAGATATATTTTTATATAAAATTTTTATATACAATACAACAAAATTGACTACATTTGACACGAATTGACTCCAGTCTCCGAGGCTCAGACTGATGAGTCATGAGACTCATGAGTCATGACTCACTTGAGACGTTTTGAGTTGCGTGTTGAGAAATTGAGATTTGAGCAGGAAACTGAAATGTCTTATTTGTTTTTAAAGAAATACTGTAGTCAAGCTGCAAGTATACCTTTTAAAATAAAATAAAAAACATGAACAAAATGTAAACTAAAATGCCTTCCGAGTTCGGCAAAATCGGCTCATGAAAAAGATCAAAAAATTTTCTTTTCCAAGTTCCAAGGTCCAACTCCAAGCTCCTTAGTCACAGAGATTCATATAGTCTCAACTCTCACAGACTTTCTCACATTCTACCTCTGCTCTTAGGTATCAAAGTAGAGTAGAGAGAGTTGAGAGTAAACGAACACTTTTGTTTTTATTGTTAAACTGTCAATGTCAAGTTGTCAACTCAGTGACTAATACTTTAGCTTTTCTAGAAATACAATCCCTCTATAGTCTATACTCTTTAAAGTATACTATAATTTTTATTTGTGTAAATAGTAATACCATCTACCACGTGTCCATCACTCCATGTCAAAGTGCCACGTCCAGTCGACCAATGATCACCAGCTCAGCAGGGTCTCAGAGTAAATACTTGGGACAACTCCAGTGCCCATAACTCCACTGTCCACCAATGTGGGTGGGTGGATGACAGGATGTGGCTTTTTTTGTTTGTATTTTTCATAGCCTTTTGTGTTCTATTTTTCAGAGGGCCATGTATGTATTTTTGTTTTCACAAGAAACAAATACCTACTCTCTAGAGAGTAGTCCTGCCGTCCTGAACTCCTGGTCTTCTGGACTCCTGGAGACCTGGACTCTCTGTCTCTCTCTCAGTCTCTTGAGTTTCTTCAGTTTCTGGAGTCTTACTTTTTCTCGTGTGTGAGTGTGTTTTTAACCTGTTGTCACTTGTCAAGCTGTCGTCCGCTACAGGCGCCTTCAGCATATGGGCTCACGACTTCACAACTTACGAGAGTCCTCAGCTCTCCTCCAAGCCTATGCCCTATGGGCTCACGCCTCACGTAAAATAAGAGAGATAAGAGTAGAGAGGAACTTTAGGCTGTTTGTAGCCGCGTATAAAACTACTACACTCGTGTGTGGTCATTGTGGGAAGTGGGCCTACTCTCTCTAGAGTAGAGTGGCCACTCAGCTACTACCCACTGGCCACTGGCCAGTGGCCAGAGTCGCTTGTTCAAAACCTGGAGGCTGAAATTCAAGGTATCTACTGACAAATGTCAATACTGTCAAGTGTCGACTACAAAAGTAACTGAATCCCCTAACACTTTAAAATAAGTGCCCTCAGGGCTCAGGCCTCATGAGTCATGAGAGTAAAAAAAGGTTGTTTTGCTTTTTTACAACAAAACCCCGGGGATGTTTACAATTTACATATTTGAACTTTAGAACTTCTGAAGTCCTGAAAGTGAGCAGACTTAACCTCATAGCGTTTACGTTAATAGATGAAGAATCGAACGTTTAGTTCCATTTTGGGTCAAGTATATTTTAGTGGAGACAAATTCCAGGGCAAGTACGGAGTAATTATGTCCTGGTATTTTGATACTCGTTAACTAATAGCTTTAGGGTTTAGGGATTTTGTTTGGGCCAAAATCAGTATGTACATGGGAGCGTTTCAACGCAAAAAAAAACTCGATGAACGTCTAACGTTTAACGTTTAAAATCGTCTTGAGATTAGGACTCGAGTGAGTCGAGAGTCGAGACTCGAGACACGAGAGTCAAGACTCTGGACTGGAGGAATGGAGGACTGGAGCTTGGGCCTGGAGCACTGGAGCTAACCTCAACAATATGTTGTACGTACATATACAAATGTTAAAAAATAAATAAAGAAAATTGGAAATAAACTGTGATAACATCGCCTCCTTTTTTGTTTTGCTTTCTCTTTTGTTTTTGTTTTTGATTTTGTAGAAACAACAAGAACAAATAAAGAGAAAAATATAAATAAAAAGCTCTATGAGTGTTAATTTTTAATTTTTTACATACATAGCCTTCAATCTGAATTTTAGAAGGCTATGGTATTATATCGGACTGAACTTGTGAAGCGTCAATTTTGTTTAAAAGAAAAGAAAAACTATTTTTAAAAAGGCTATGGTTAATTCAATATAAATGTATATGTATTTATTTATGTATATATTTTTAATATTAGATTTTTTTTGATTGTTTATATAATTAAAAAAACAAACATAAAAGTTATGGATTGGATTTGAATTGCCCTGATTGAGATTGAATGGGTGCAGACTGCAGACCCTACGGGCGATGTACGCTACGGCTTACATTCGAAATACATACAATTACATACTGATTGCTGGCTGCTCTCATCTTACGACTTACGAGTGGCGCAAACTGTTCTAAATTCAGCGGACTGAAACAGAAAAGAAAATCAAAATGACTCAAAGTTTCGGGATTCGGGAGTATCGGAACTCGGGACTGGGTCACTCGCGGGACTCGGGACTGGGTCACTCGCGGGATTCGGGACTCGGTCACTCGGGGCCCGGCCCTTTGTCCCTACTGCTACTCTACTAGTAGCAGGGCCTCGGCCCCCGGGGCTCGGCTCTCACCTGTCGGCTAATCGGATTTGACAAGAATAGAGTTTTGTTGTTGTTGTAAAATATAATTATTATATAATCCCCCCTAAAAACTATGCCTGGCTTCGATTTCGCGCCTCGTCTCGAACTTGGCTTTTTTGTCTTTACTCTATCTGCCTACCACAACTATACATGCTATTTTTATTTGAAATACAATTTCTTTTGAGGTCCATAGCCTTCTATTTCAGAAGGCTATGTGAGGTCTTTTGACAAAGCACAAAGAAGCAAATTAACAACTCTTGCTTTTATTCCAATGATGAATAACAGGTGTTGCACAGGATGAGTAAACAGTCAATTAGCAGTGATTAGTGAATGGGCTGTGGCCCTAACCTTGCGAGTCTAAACATTTTGTGTTTAACTTTTTTTCCCCATACAAACCAGTCCTATAAAATAACAGGTATTTAGGTTCTTCTGATTACTGAACTCGCATTTGCTGAACGCATTCAAATATGCGTTTACATTCAACTTCTATTCCATACCACCATAACGTAATGAGCTTAGCCAGTGTGGCCTGTGAACAAGTTTTTAGGGGTATTATTTTAAAAAATATCAAAAAGAAAAAGTATATGTCACTATGAGACTTTAAAAAAAAAGGTATTTACATAGATAAATATGAGGCCCTGACCCCTGAGGTTTGAGGGCCGTAGGTAAATATGTAAATAACACATACATTTTTAAAAAATTATTCGTGTGTTGTTGACTTGTTGTTTTCTATTATTTTGTTTAAAACAAATATGAATAGAAAACATGTGTATGTATGACTGACTGTATGTATGTATGTATTTTCTTTAAAAGATACAACAGTTTTTTGAATTGTTTAAAAAAAAGATTTATGAATATACAGAGAATAAATTTATTTACATCACAACTGTAGTGAATACATATTTTTTAAAAACAAATGTGAAGTTGTAACATTTTTGCGTTAGTGACATTTATTTTTTGTTTTGTTTATTATTTTTATTTATTTTACAATTTTTAAAAGAATGACAAACTAAAAAATTTTAATTAAAAAGAGAGAAGTATTTTATTGTTTTTAAAAACAAAAGTAATAAATATGACTGAAATCATCACTCTCAATGGTTAATTACTCATCAATGTCTAAATACTAGTAATTACTCAATGTTGTTTGTTTAAAAAAAAAAAGGTACACAATCTTACAAGTCACAAGTCACAAGTCACAGCCGAGTACAGGTCACACGGATAACTGGACAAGTTGTTTGTGTCAACCTTCTTCGGCTGAAGTTCGTAGGGAGTAGGGACTACTAGAGAAAGAGAGAGAGAGAGAGGGTTCGTGGGGTGTAGGGTTTATAAACTCAATACTGCCCGCAGAATCCACGCGAGAGTCCTCAGAGTCTACAGGTCCACAACAGAGTCCACAACAAAGTCCACAACAGAGTCCACAGAATCCACTCGTATATAATGAGTAGTGACGTAAATATATATTTAGTTTCGATCTGGAGAAGAACAAAAGCTCGACGTCAAATTTAATAATATGAGAGATTTTTTTGTTTTGGGTTGTGCCATAGGCGATTAGGCGCCCATAGCCCTCTAAATTATACAGTTGTGTTTCTTTTTTGTTTTTTTTCTCCAAAAATTCAGATCAGAACAAAACAAAAACAAACAAAGAACAAAATTTAAAAATATAGAAAACCAACAAAATAAAAATTGTTACACTGATCATCTGATGAGACTGTGAACTTGCGAAGTGCCCAGGGGCCAGCCAGGCCTGGGGCCCAGGCCAACTGCCGAATTGTCAGAGAGCATAAAATTGCATAACGGAAAACAACCTATCCACATAATTTTACAAGAGTTGAACATCACATAGCCGGTCAGGATTTTCGTGACAGGAACTTTAAATAGGTCAACGCCGCATCCGAATTGAGCATAACTTCTATACGATAAAGTTTTCCATACGATCACTGTTCTCGCTGAATACAATTAAGCGATATTACTGACAGGCATCGTATCATCTCTTTCATATAATTGAGAAACAAAATGACATCTACACAAGCCAACACTGTCTACCGTAAGTGGCACTATGCGAAGCAAGCCGATTTTGTTTCTAAAAGCAGCACTAAGAGAAGATCCAAAGATGCAGATACAAATGCGAAGGTAGGAGCGAAGAGATCCAGGAGTGAGCCTTCATTACACTCTGTGCGTAAAATATCAATTACGAGACAGCAGATGAGTCCTAAAATGACGACCACTCTGCCTCGTGTACAACACGTACGACCTGTTGCACCCATTGGCCAAGTACAATCGAGCCTACCTATCTTACCTACACAGTCAAACTTTCTACCCTTACACACACCCAGAACCCCTTACTATGATTTCAAGCGCTGTCAGACTGCGTTTTCCGATATATTACTCAAGGGTCTGGTGCCTGATAATCTGAACCAACCAACACAAATCCTTCCTGAATTCGATTTATTACCGACGATATCAACGGATTCTCCAACTGAAAGATCAAATGCTTTTCCTGCGCTGATACCCGACTCGGATTTGGCTGTAGCTTCTACGTTGGGAAATCTGAGACTGCTTGATTCTGTACCAAAGGCGAGCGGTTTGCTAGATACACGCATGTATTCGCCTGTTTCGACTAGTCTTCCTGAGTCACCCACACAGCACCTAGCACTACTCAATCCGAACACAGGCACGAATTATACCTTAGAGCGAATGGACACACAATCTTCCATGTTATCCCGGAACTCGACGACTCCTTCTCTCAGTTCTTTTGGGTGGAGCTTCGACGCATTTGACCTGGAACTGGAACCAAGTATAGGCCAGAATCTTCTGTCGCCAGTCGGAGATTTCTCACATTTTAACGAGCTCGCTCTTTCTGATTTGGAGAGAACGTTCTCATTAGCGTGATTGACAATCCGTAATAAATTCATCTCTAAGATTCTTCAACCGTTATTGCAGGCGCAATAAGGTTCGAACAGACAACGATGTGAGCGCATCGCAGTCTAGACATTAACAACTGGAATAATGTAGTTGCGACCGGTCCCACAATAAGCACAGATTGCCACGAGGGTTCTCAGCACGATAGAGTAGTTCAAATTTGAAAGAGCATAATACAGTATTTCATACAATACAAATGATTTCTACAGTCCATGGCTCGCGTGCACATATTGTCAATCTCTCCAAGCGTCTATTAAACACATCTTGGAGTAGTTAATGATAATGACTTGTATCAAATATCAAAACTTAATGTGGATCACTTGCATCAAACATCAAAACTATAACAAGCATTTAGAAGCAATGCTACGGCCGATTTGCTTTTTATAGTCAACAAGCAGTGCTTCCTTCGTGGGGATCGCGATCAATTCGATCTATCAACAGTCTCGCGTCTGTCGTCGCATGTTGAATTTTGGTGCAATATTTTGATGTTTTAGGGTTTAGATTGTGCATGAAGTAAATATAACTTCTATTGACATTTGCCTTCAAAGGTGTTTGACAAGCTTGTCATACTATTCCTTCCGACAAGATTTTTGATATAAGGAGCACCAAACTGTTTCACCAGGCGTAAGAAGTTGCCTAGCTCAAAGCATACAAGAAGCTGCATTGTAGGTATATATCAAATTGTGCATGATTGTGGTTAGTACGACAAATTAGTGAGAACGGTGACTCATGTGTACATGAGTGACATAGCGGCATTAATTTTCGTTTGACCAAATGACCAGGAAAGAAGACACACACATAAGGGAGTGGCACAGGCATGCCATTTTCTCGCAGCGCTCTTTGTGAAGGTAGAACTAAATTCAAATTCAAAGTAGGTCGGTCGCGTAAAATTTGGTTCGGTCTAGATTCTTTCTTATTTGTATTTTTACATTTCACATCATATATATTAACTACTATTTTCATTCTTAGTGTCGTAAACTACACAATAAATATAAATATATATATATATATATTTGCTATATATATTTTTTTGCTACAGAATTTGTCTCCTGCGAGACAGTTCTTTGTTTTTTCCTACATAGTAGAACGATTTTTATATTTTGAAATGTCACATCAGTCAGGGCAGGCACAAACATTTTTTGATTGACTCACCAGATGTCATTTCCATGTGTGAGAGCTCAACTACTCAAGGTACTTTAGTTCGAGTACATAGGATCTTTATAAAAAGACTGAGCACTATGAGTGGGATAAACAAAATTTTCATCTATTTCATTGGCTGGAAATGAAACCAAATCCAAAATAGGTATATACTATATAGGCTATAGGATAAAAATGCGGTTTGTGTACTGAGTCTACACACTCCACTCTACAGTCTACAGTCTACAGTCTCTATAGTGTCTACACTTATATAAATTACGCTCGTGTTGAGTGTTGACACCACAGTTTTTTTTTTTGGTTTTAGGGTTTACTTGTGAAAACTTATTTACTCCGGTTTGAACTCGAGCCAAGTAAAAAAAAACATCGATGTCAAAACTCGTGCAATTTCAAAACTCGATTCCCCAAAAATATAATGCGCAGGGCTGAACTGCACTGCGGTGGTGGCTGGGTGCACAGCCTCAGGCCCTCAGCCCTCACGGGCAGCATTGCAGCTGCCGTTAGTGTCGTGCTGCAATGCTGGTGGGAGTGGTGGCAGCTCCGCATCCCAGTCCACAGTTTACAGTCGACAGTCCACAGTCCACAGTCCACAGTCCACAGTCCACAGTCCACAGTCCACAGTCCACAGTCCACAGTCCACAGTCCACAGTCCACAGTCCACAGTCCACAGTCCACAGTTTTACGCGGTCTCCCCCAGAAACCCGGACTTTTAAGGTCCAAGCCTCAAGTCCTCATCTGCAACAACAACTGCGGCCATATGGCAGTCTTTAGAGGGAGTCTGAGAGTGGGACTGCGGGAGTCTGGGACCGTGTGGGTGCCTGAGTGCCTTCCCGAGTCCCCTCAAGTCCTCAAGCCTTCCCCTTTAAAAATAATGGGTTCATAAAACGTTCAACTTTTATATTTTCCTACGTAAATTTATAGGGTGCATACATAGCCTTGTAACGCCATACAGCGCAAAAATGACCCTCCGTCCGTCGATAACCATTTCGGTAAGAAATAGATGTAAATCTCAAATGGAAAATTGTGCAAAACGTTAAAAACTGTAAATACATAAATCTAGTATTTTAAAAATAAAATAAAATAATGTACTGGACGCCGTGTCAGGTGTGGTCGTGTGAGAGGTAAAAATGTATTTTCTCAAATAAAAAAACTAAAGTGACTGTGTTAGACTGTCAATTATAAGAGCTTAGAATAAGTGCTTTATTGCAGTGCCTGCTCAAGGCATTTATACTAAGAATTATTTCTGTCATGACTAACTCATGAACAGGGGAAAAAAACCATATTTTGGAAAAACCCATTTATAATTTATGTTTGGTTTATGTTGTCCAATTCAAGCTCCGTGTGGTTTTACTACGCTTACATTGGACCTTCATTGGTGACCCGGTAATAGCTGTAACCTACAAAATCAGCTGATATTTTTTTTAATTTTTGTAGAGTTGAAACTTGAAGTCTATTTATAAATACCGATATTTATGCCTCTATGTATGTTTCTATCGTCTCTCTCTGGGGCGGGCTGGGGCTTCTTTGGGGTGTGTATTTGTTTTTATATATATATTTTTTATACTGAGAGTGAGAACTGAGAACAGAATTGAGAGGGTGAGACCAGGTCACCAGGCGCCAGGGTGATGTCTCACACTGATCCTTGCTGTCCTAGCTAAATAAATATACAGGGTCTGATTTTCGATTTTCGGACCGGCTTGTAGAAGTTGTAGGACTACTCAGTCTCACTCAGGAAGTCAGTACTCACTATAGAAGTCTCTCTCTACAGTAACTGTAGAGAGTGAGAGAGTAGAGCTGACACTGACAGAGAGAGAGAGAGAGTAGTAGGCCTTGCGTTCGGATTATTCCTAAAAAAACTCCAGAGCACTTGACCGGTACTTGCCGTCATTTTTTTTTAGTAGTTTTTTTCTTTTCGTTTTGCAAAATCTGCTGTGATTTTTTGAGTAGTATTTAATTATTTATGTAATTTTGTATGCCGCTATGCCTCAGGGCTCAGACCTCTTAGGAAATCTTTGAACTCCACAATCTCATTGAGTCCACTGACCAATTTCCCGGGCAGGTGCGAACCTTCTGTTTGAACTGTGAACATATTTGACGTAGAAAACTAGAAATGACTATTCTGATTCTTGGGGCCTCTGATGGGTCATATCTGATTTACCTAATATTACTTGCCAAATTCGACATTCGTATAGTTTGGATATCTCGAGCATTTCTCATTTCCAAAGCAATTTTAATTTTGGCTTGAAAAGAGTGCGAGAGGAAGCTTTATTGCTTGTGCAGAGCATACATACATATTTTACACCCGGAGAGAGTCCTCAAAACAAAAACGCGATTCAGTACAGTAAAATGCATATCTATAAACTATTGTTATCCTGCGTCGCAGTGACCACCGCTGTGGCCATGCCTTTGCGCAGCCAGAAGCCAAGTGCTATTGGAGAGGACGTTGGGAAATTCTGGCAGCATTTCGGCGAAGAGATGGTACATATGGGTGAGATGGAAGGACAACAAAGAGCGTCTACGCACACACAAGTGTTCACAGATCGACCATTGGCGACAAAGAAAACACAGGCAGTGAAAGATGTTGGCGCATACTGGGCACACATTGGAGAGGAGATGGGTCGAAAGTGGGCTGCTTTTGTTGAACGCAGGGCAATGGAAGCTGAGGAACAAGCAAGGAAAGAATTACAGGCTGTCAGAGCTGAACAAGTAGAAGCCATGAAGCGCGCGGAATATGAGCAACATCGCAAGCAGACGGCTGCGGAGAAAATGATGGCTCACGAGCGAGCAGCCGCACTCAGAAGACATCAAATGCGATTGAGGAAAGAATACATGCAGCAACAACAACAAGAACAACTGGAGGAAATTGAAACACGCGCGCAGTATGCGATGTATCGGGCAGCTGCGGCTGTGCGACACTTGGTCAATGACATGACGTGTATAATTAAAAAGATGATACATAAGTTTAGTGCTTTGCTAGTTTCTGCGTTCAATTATTAAACTTGTACTTTGAAAACGGCGGATGCGATTTTAATTTTTTTTCCATATTAGGAAGGCTCCAAGCTGGTATAGTGTTCAATCAAATCTTTTAGTCGCGTTCTTGTTGAAACATACTCTATATGTAGATTTAGAGTGTATTCAATAAATATTTATATCAAACGGAGCACAACCCAAACCTTCAGGTCTAGTAGATGGCTCGTGCAGGCAACTCACAAAGCTCTGTTGGTGACACCGAGCAGACGTGAGGTGACATTGCCGTCCCGAAACAACACCTCCGACACCTCGTAAACACCATAGATGAAAACGCTCATCGGTTCACATCAGCTTTGTCTAAGAAGTATTTGCACATTGTGTTTGAGGTCAGATCAGATCAGACGCAGATAAAATCAGATCTCATGCGAACTATGTATATTCAGGGCACTACACCCCGGCCTGATAAAGCGCTGTAAAGTATTTGTTTTTGTAGTAAGACAGTTTTGAAAAGAAGCATTCAAGGATATATATCAGTTAAGTAGACACATCTACGTATACTCACTTGGTATCAACCATTAACCATTCAGGGATATATATCGGTTCACTAGACAAAGCTGCAATTTCTTACACTCGCCATATAGTTTTGATAGCACACTGGTATGGACCGTACTGGCCGGGTATTAGACTATTTGAGAGTCGGGTATCTCAGACTTACTGGTTATAAAAACAGTCGAATTACCATTTATATCCATTTATTTCGCCTTTATGAATCAGCTAATAGTCGAGCCAGCTTCTCAGATGATATGCTGCAGTGGCATCGTTGTGGCGTATGATCTCGTCTTTGATACTCAAACTCAGCCACAGCCGTTCTAGGGCGGCGTATAAGAACGTGTTGAGGTGAAGGGGATGTCCACGCCTGGGCAGGGATAGGACAGGTGTTAGTACCGACGTCGATGAAACATGGGATGCTCTAGATTTGGAACTGAAATACAACCATAACATACTTTAAATATATAACACTGCATGAACACAAACGGAAACGCATATATAATATATAGTCCCATATATATATAACACACACACACACACACACATATATATATATATATATATATAATATACACACACACACACACATATATATATATATATATATATATATATATGTGTGTGTGTGTATATTATATATACATATATAAATTCACAAGCATACAACACTCACAATTCTACGTCTCTACACGCGGAGTACACACTCATACACAGGCATGTAGACGATTCACCCCACATTTAAACACACTCACCGCAGCCCGAAATCCCTCTCTCCGTGCGAGTCCAGGTACATCGACGGATACGGACAGCCCCGGCCCGACGCTAGGAGCAACACCATGCACTTTTTCAGCACAAAGAACACGCCCACACCCGCCCCACATCTCCTGGCGTGTGCGTTGCACTCTCCCACACCACCCACGGTGCAGCACGCACTCTTGGCGCACACATAGACCCCACACGAGAGGCATAAGGCGGGGTCTACAGGGGTCTGGTTGCACTGGGCACACTTCACATTGGTCGCGTCGTGGAAAAGATCGTTGAAGTCGGCTGGCAACGGGATCAGCTGCTTCACCCGCACCGGCAGTAGCGCGCGCTTGGGGTCCCAGAACCCGGTCCGTTCGTCTGTGCTGGTAGCTGTGGCCGAGGACGAGGGTGTGGGTGTGGATGTTGTGGTGGGCTGTGAGCGAGCGGGTGTTGCGGTGAGTCTACCAGGCTCAGGTGCAGCCCGACCCTCGCCCGTGCTGGGAGGGACTATCGTGTGAGCGAGTGCAGGTCTGCTACCGCTGCCTTGTGTCGCACACCCCAGACCGCTGGCGAGTGCTGTATAGGTCCTGTCCGGTGGAGACTGGTCTATGAACCTGTACACCATCTCTGGCGAAGCGCCTGGCCCTTGCACGGACTGAGCGTCCACGGTTGTGTCGGGAGCTTTGGGTGCCAACAGCAGCCGGTCCTTGTACACAGAGTCACACCAGCAGTCGACCAGGGGCGCGTACACGAGTCCGGTGGTGCTCTCGTGGTGTCGCTGTGTGCTGTCTGTGCTTTCGTATGTGTGGGTGGCCAGTTCGCGTTGCACACGCCTGCGTAACCCGCGGATGCCCAGATAGGCCTCTATGCTCACACACTCGCGCACCCACGCAGTGCTGGTCTCATCCAGCACGGCTGTGGACGCGCTCATCGCATCCCCATCCATGTCTACGTCGGCGTCCAATGCCGGCCCTTTGGTGTTAGCGGACAATAAAGGAGGACTCGCCCGTGTGGGGTCGATAAACACGTGGACCAGCACGGTTGTGCACTGCAGGTAGCCCAGAGACGCCTTGCGTGCGTATGCTGCTAAGTGCTGCATGTTGGTTGCCATGACAACGGCCGATGGCGTGTAGGGCTTCGTTGAGGTCAGGGGCGAGCAGCGGTGGACGCTCTCGTCTACCAGACGATACAGCCCCTCTATGCATTCACTGGATGTAGCATCTATAAATAGAACACACAAAAACCCGGTTAGAGAGTGTGTTGGATGGTGCTAGACTCTGATGAGGGGTGTAGTAGTATCTATTGATAGAACCCGCGAGAGCGAGCAGAGATGACGAAATTATAAACCAATGAATTTAGCGGCTATTTATAGATCACACGAGAGAATGGGCAGACATGGCGGGGTCGGAGACAGCCAATGGACGGAGCATCTATTTATAAATCACACGAGAGAAAGAACACAGTCGGCTAAGTGCCCGACGGGCACCAATGTATTGTGTGTGCGTGTTCCACGAAAGTCTACGTCGTTACATACGACGGAATATACACAGGCGGCACAGATAGTCCTATTCACGTGTGTGTCTCGTGTGTCGTATATACATACATACATACATACACACACACACATACACATACACACATATATATACATAAATATATAAATATATATATATACATACATACATATGTACATACATACAAACATACAAACATACATACATACATACATACATACATACATATATACATACATACATATGTACATACGTACATACATACATACACATGTACATACATATGTACATACATACACATACACACAGCCACACACACATATACATACATGCAAACAACATACACATACACACAAATATACATGTACATATAAATATACATATACACTTACATCGAAATATACATATACATATACGTATGCATATACATACACATACACAAACACATACACACAACAAACACACACACACACACACGTCCACGCAACGAAATACAATATGTACGTCATGTCCGCCACATACCATCAGATCCACTTGCGCTTACACACTCCAGGTGAGCAGTCTCCATAGCACGCTCCAGTGCGCGCGCTGCGCGACCGCCATGGTTGAAAGTGTAGTGTATGGCCACACAAGTCTGGACGCACGTGGCTAGGTACAGAACTTCTAGTAGGTGCTGTGCCGACTTCTTGGACTCTGCAGGTGGGGTTGGGGATGGGTGTGCTGTGATATTTATTTGTTAATGGGTGTGCTGTGTACGGACGCACTGGTGTGCACACAACTGGCTACGTACAGAACTTTAAGTACAGGCTTGCTTGGGTGAATGTGAGTGTGAGAGAGCGTATGTATGTGTGTGTGTGTGTATATGTGTGTGGTGTAAGCTCTAACACCTATACAGCGTCCCTCAACAGCAACAGTGATAAAGCCTGCTGTGACTAACCACGGCACGCGAACATACTGTGTGTGCACCGGATGCTCCAATAACACCCAAGGGGCTTGGGGCGAGGATACAACAGTTAACATGAGCATACACAACAGCGATGTAAGTGCAACTACCTATACATATCCAAGACTACTAGTGGTAGTAACCAATGGCATATATAGGAAAGCTACCGCATGTACCAAGCCTTACACATCCCCAAATCTTATATCGTAGACCCCCCCCCTACACAGGCTATCTCGATTTGGTATCAGATCAACATCCAAGCATTCCTATCAATTACCTACACACCGCCACATACTCATTTGGTTGGGTAGTAGGGTGTGCAAGGTCTATTAAGACATCCACGCATTCCTACCAGTTGCCTACACACAATTGGGTAGTAGGGTGTACAAGGTCTATTAAGACATCCACGCATTCCTATCAGTTACCTACACACAGCCACATACTCATTTGGTTGGTTGTAGGGTGTACAAGATCTAAAAAAACATCATCCATCTATTAAGACATCCACCGCATTCCTATCAGTTACCTACACACAGCCACAATACTCATTTGGTTGGATAGAAGGGTGTACAAGATCTAATAAAACATCCATCTATTAAGACATCCACGCATTCCTATCAGTTACCCACACACAACCACATACTCATTTGATTGGGTATTAGAGTGTACAAGGTCTGTGTCAATACACTGAAGGGATCCAGATGCAGCAATCTCCGTGCGTGCATCTGCTGTCCGTGCACACGCCCGGGGGAAGGCTCCGTTCCCATGGCAACCAGCGTGGCGATGTTGAGCACGGCTATATCTCTGAAGAGTGTGTCGACGGGTAGTTTGTGCCTCAGCAGATTCAGCACATGGCACAACCCCCGCAGACACGTCTCCTGACGTGAGGTGAGCGAAGAACTCAAAAAGTCCTCGTTAACGGTGCCCTGGTAGAACAGGCAAGAGGTCAATGGATGTGTATGATCAATGGGTGTGTTTGTGAATGTATGTCAATACGTATGGGGGAAACTGGCATGCGATTTGATGTGTAGGTATGTGTGTTTTGGTGCGAGGATCGGCATATGAGACGTGTGTGTGTAAGGTTGTGGATATGCAGGGAGAGACAAGCAAAAACATCCGCAATCGAGGTATATATATATAATAATATATAATAATATATAATAATATATATATTATATATATAAATATATATATATATTCATGACATTAATAATATATATATAATACTAACTATATATATATATATCTATATAACAATAATAATATATAACAATAATAATATATATATATATATAATAATAATAATATAATAATATATAACAATAACAATAATATATATATATATATACAGATATATGGACATATGGACATATCGGTAGATAGATGGAAAAATTAAAAATATACAGGTAGATAGATTTAGGTATAGATATATTACATATGCAAATACATAATAGAAACAGATATATATATATATGGACAGATATGGATATTCATATACACACACAGACACCCACACCCACACACGTCCATATCCACATCCACATACATGTCACACGCATGCAAGACCCATACACACACATACGTATACACATACAAATACATCGCACGCACACAAGATATATATGATATACAGACAAGAGTCAGGACGCCCTACCTCAGCAGCACTCAATGCCTCGGCCGATGCCACAGTGGTACGGATTGTGTACTGTAGCACATCCACCATGGAGTCAAATGTGCGCACGACGCGATTGACGGAGCGTTGGGTGATCTCGCGCTTCAGGCTCTGTGTTGAGTGAGTGAGTGAGTGAGTAATTGAGTGAGTAATTGAGTGAGTGAGTGATTGAGTGAGTGAGTGATTGAGTGAGTGAGTGAGTGAGTGAGAGAGAGAGAGGGTGAGGGCTAGGTTGGTAGAGAAGCTGGGTTCGTGAACGTGTTTATTTGGAGACACTGTGTGAGAGAGTTATGTTTATAGAAGCTATATGTGTGTGAGCCTAAGGCGATGAAGAAACTTGTGTGTGTGGGTGTGTGCATATGGGGAGAAACAGGCCGAATAAGAATGTTAAGAAAGTGTATAAAAGGAGAATGCAACTTAAGCTAGAGTGTGTGTAAGATGAACTTGCGACAACAGATTATGTGTATGTGTATGTGCATGTGTACGTGTATATGTATGTGTATGTGTAAGTGTATATGTGTATGTGTAAGTGTACGTGTATGTGTATATGTATGCGTACGTGTATATGTATGTGTACGTGTATATGTATATATGTACGTGTACGTGTATGCGTATGCGTATGTGCATGTGCCTGTGCATATGTATGTGCATGTGTTTGAAGCACAGATGGCATTGGATATCGCTGCTGTGCGTACGTGTACGTGTGTGTGGGGTAGTGAATGGGCCAGGATGAGTGCCGGGTGAGTGTGCGCGGGCCTTGTGTGAGAGACGGTGACACAGGGGGTGGTTAGTGTAGACTGCATGACACAGGGGGTGGTTAGTGTAGACGGCATCATATGATACGCATTAGTTGTACAGACGAGTAATGAATAGGAGCAGTTGGGGTGTTGAGACGTACCCTTGTGTATATGTACAGCCCAATATAATGGGAAAGCGAGCGAGGAAGGCATCACTGCGGTGTGTCACCCGTACCAGCGCCTAGAACAAGCCTGAAGACACACAGACTGACCCATTCAATCTTTCGACCACACACGTACAGCACACGGACGCTACATACCACACAAACTTATGCACATACCGTACACAGGAGAAACAATACCCAGGCAAACAACATGTACATATGTATATACTCGTGCAACTAACACACTCTAGTATATACCGAACAGCAGGCAAGTATTGCACGCGATGGTTATGCTTATATCGTCACGGGTGTACCTTTGAGATGCCGTCACAAGCCACCCCAAACGAGTAGAACATGTTGGGCTTGGGCAGCCACATGTTGACGAAGGCTTTCCAACTGGTGTTGTGCTCTTCCCTTTCAGACGCGTTGGGTTCTCGGACTGTCGCTGCTAAGATGATGCAAATGCGATGTGAGTGGGGCGGTATGGGTATGTGCGTGTGTATGTATATGTATAGGTATATGATGTGAGTGGGGTGGTATGGGTATGTGTATGTGATTGTCTATGTCTATGTATAGGTATATGCGCTGTCGGTTTTATGTGTATATAAGTTCATGTATCTCAATGTGTTTGTATATGTCGTTTGTATGTGTATATAAGCACATCTATCTATGTGTGTATGTACATGTATACATTTATATATACGTATACACATACATTCATACGTTTATGCATTTCCGCTTCACGTTTATACCCAATTCGCATGCACTTACCCACACGTGTTACTCTAGAGCTCGTGTTCCGCTGAGCGGCTGTGGTTGCGGTGGCTGGGTCTTCCCTTCGCACCACAAACCGGTTGTCTCGCTCTGGTGCGTTCATACCCCAGATTCCTGTGATTGCGGTTGTAGGGTTTAGAGATTGCTATAAGTGTGGAAAGGGAGATATATGCGTGGGCGAGTATTTAATAGTCAGCAGATGAGAGATCGTGCGCATTGGAAAAGCCAAGAAACGCCTGGGTGGGCGGGTAATAGATGGATCCGTACGTGTGTAGTCTGTGCTTTCAAGCGATTATACATGCTTATATATATATATATGTATATGTATATGTGTAAGTATGTAAATATGGATATACGTATACATCTATCTATGTATCTATGTATCCATTTATCCATGTATCTATGTATATATATACATAGATACATATAAAATACAAAAATAGATACATAGATACATAGATACATAGATATATAGATACATAGATAAATAGATATATAATATTATAAATAGGGATGTTTGGGCGAGGAATGTTATATACGAGATAAAATGAATGTGTATGTATCTGAAAGTCATAGTGATTACAATATACATATACCTATACATCATTGAACGCTTGCAACTTTGCATAAGCGTGATGGAGTATTATAGCCCACTAACACAAAATCCATTTCCAATTCAGAATCCCAAAATCCGAATGAAAAAGGCAAAAAAAAAAAAGGTTAAGTTGTAACATTCAAGCACCGCCTATGTAATGTACCTAGGCCGCCGAAGATGCCGGCAGCACTCGATATATTCCTGGAGAGGGGCGACGCGTCCGTGACGGCCGTAGTCCCTCCAGCCGCTGCCGAGCCACTCGTTGCCATAGCAACGGTTTTATCTGCGGCAAAATCGGTTTCCAGGAGATCGTTTCGTTTCAGAGGGTCCTGGAGGGACCGGATGAGCTTGATGAATTCATCGTCCATGAAGGCGTCGTCGTTGTCTAGGTAGATGTTGTGTTTCATATCCGCGGACACTTTGGTGTCGGCGGCCGAGTCTGCGTTGTCTGTTTTTTTTGGACAAGAAACGGATTGTACGACCATTATTATACGTACAACGTCAACCATGGAGGTAGGTATGAGATGAGTATAGTCTCATTCTGAGGTCAACTGTGGAGGTAGGTATGAGATGAGTATAGTCTCATGCTGAGGTCAACCATGGAGGTAGGTATGAGATGAGTATAGTCTCATTCCGAGGTCAACCATGGAGGTAGGTATGAGATGAGTATAGTCTCATTCTGAGGTCAACCATCGAGGTAGGTATGAGATGGATATAGTCTCATTCTGAAGGCCAGGTTACGGACCCAGAGGGGGCTTTCACAGAATAGATGGAATATGTTATATGCAAATAGAACAACACCTTGACGCAGGCATCTACATAGCAGAGCTGTCAATCTGTTCGCATGTGCATGCAGTGAGTGCACAAGGGTTTGGAAACCCTTAAAACCCTAAAATCCAGGGCAGCAGACGGTCCTGACATTCCGTAACCGAGCGCACGCAAGATGAACACGCATTCACGAAGTATATCAACAACGACAATACCATAAAGCGCATAACCACCAAGCCTTAAAGATTACATAGGAGATAAAGACCCCTACATAGAAGTAAAGACCCCTACATAGAAATAAAGACCCCTACATAGACAATAAAGACCCCTAAATAGAAAATAAAGAACCCCTACATAGAATTATTCATGAAGGATACGGAGAGGTACTCGAAATAACATCACTTGGAGATGAACAGCATGCCCCTAACTTTTACTGGCGGAAGTACACAGACACGCACATATAGACATAAGCAGAGACCCACAAGCTCGTTTTCACACCCTCATATACATCCACGAGCACATGGTTGAGAATGGTGCATTCATGGCCATTGCAACACATGGCATGGGGTTCTTATACAGCCTTAAAAAACTATGAAGGGGAACCAGACACTAAAACCCTAAACCAGACACTTAGCAGGATGGTTGATTTATATACTTACATACATATACCCACTCACTCACGCACGCACACACACACACACCACACCACACCACGCACACACACACACACACACCACACCACACACACAGAGATAGAGACAGAGACAGACTCAGACTTAGACACAGACTCAGATACACACACACACACACGTGTGAAGTATCACATACCATGCACATACGGCTGCCACACATACGGCAGGAGGGTGTTGTTCGCTTTCTTGCACAACGGGCACAAAAACTCGCCCTTGCTCGCGTCGGCTAAATGCGGAGACACGCGCGCCTCATAGAGAGACCTCGAGTTGGTGAGAGACGCTAAGTAGCGGCCGTGACAGTCATGGTGCATGGCGTGTCCACAGGAAGTGATCACACCACCACCACTCAGCAATATGGAGTCTGTGTAGGGGGGGTATGTGAATGGTGTGAGGTTGTTGTATTGTGTGTGGTTGTCGAGGTATGGACGTGTGCGGTACATGTATGTATACCTCCGCGTGATTTTTTATGTTTGTGTATTGTATATGTACACATACACATACACATACACATACAGGTACACACACACACATACAGATACAGGCACACACACACACATATATATATATATAGAGTATGTATGTATGTATGTATGTATGTATGTATGTATGTATGTATGTATGTATGTATGTATGTATGTATGAATGAATGAATGAATGTATATATGTATGTATGTATGTATGAATGTATGTATGTATATATATATGTACACATACACATACAGGTACACACACACACATACAGATACAGGCATACACACACACATATATATATATATAGTATGTATGTATGTATGTATGTATGTATGTATGTATGTATGTATGTATGTATGTATGAATGAATGTTTGTATGTATGTATGTATGTATGTATCTATGCCTCTATATAGTTGGATGTCAACAAGCGTAGATCACCCCACTGCCACGCAGGATGCACGGAATATATGTAGTGTCAGTGGAATAGCTCGTGTGTGAGTGAATAATCGCTATAGCATGATATATTTACACGTAGTAATATACATAATTATAGAGTCGGATGTACCTAAACATCTATTCGCAGATTCCTATACCTACATACGCGAGTTGGTGGTTTCCCTGGCCTGGTCGTTGGGTGTGACAACATCTACCTCTACCTATATATAGACGCATCTATTAATAGATATTTTCACACACATACCCGCATTGGTTGCCTCACCGCCCTGGTCGTTGGGTGAGAACAGCTCTTCTTGGGCTTTCATGGCCGTCTTCCATTGGGCTAGAGCAGGATCGTCACTGGCGCGTTGTCGCTCGATGTAGCCTTTCATTGTGTTGGTGTCTGTGTGGTGAGATGCAAAGAGGGACGTCAACGGAAAGCGTGTTTTTTTTTGTGTGTGCATATATATATATATATATATATATATATATGTGTGTGTGTATGTATGTATGTGTGTGTGTGTACGTGTGTGCATATATATATATATGTGTGTGTATGTGTGTGCATATATATGTGTGTGTGCATATATATATATATATATGTATGTGTGTGTGTGTGTGTGTGCACAATGACTATGTGTATGCTGTGTGTGTGTGTCAGTATTACAAATCGAAGGCGGGAGACGAGAGAGAGAGAGAGAGGAGGGGGGGGGATTTAACCGTTCAACCGGAAGAAATCGAAGAGCATATCACTGTAGCGTATGTTGGGCTCGTCCGGGTACTGAGCGATTCATATGTTGACCGTATGAAGAGGGTAAACCACCCCTTGCTAAAGTGGCAATGAAGAGGCTTAACCACCCCTTGCTAAAGTGGTTATGAAGAGGCTTAACCACCCCTTGCTAAAGTGGTTGCTACTTTGTACGCCTATAATATACTCCGCTCAATTTCTTTACTGACTACGTCCGGCGGTTTATTACTTTGTTCCAATGATCAGGCGCCACCGAGCTATCCTGGGACGAACCGACATGCGGATTTACGACCGTTGCAAACTCAAAACATGTACTACATTCCGTTTTTTCCCAATTACCAGTCCTGTAGACTGTAATCAAGGCAAAAGAAAATCCAGAAACGGCGGATACAGCACAATATACGACATTGGCCGATGTACTGAATCCTTGAGGTGTATCAAAAGGATGTTTCTCTGCCTCTTTCCGCTGCGATTTACGACATCATTCAACGTATCAAATAGATGCATATCCGCCACTTCCACATGACCCACAACATAAGCAAGACAGTTGTACTTGCAAGCCGATGACCAGAAAGTACACACTACACAAACGGCATCACAATATGCGACAAAAAGGGGGTAAACAACACTCAAAGTATGTACTATATGTTAAATGTCTATACGACCCGCACCACAATATGCGACTAAAAGAAGATAAAGCACACTCAAAGTATGTATATTTTAAATGTCTACATGACCCGCACCAGTACCGATACTACAGGACTTCCCACAACTCAATTCAATCGGAGTTTACGACGCTTAGAGATGTACCAAACATCGCATTCTATCCCACTCACCCTTGCTATTGACCGCAACCAGGCGATTGTTAATGAATCCCGACAATCGGATATTGCCGCACAGACCCATGGCCCCTTTGTACTCTTTCTCGTCCTGCTTTTCTTCTCCAATCGTGATTGCACCAGAGGTCTCCTACAGACGCGTGTATGTAGGTATGCAAATATATATTTGAATATAATACTATAACAATATAATAGTACAATAATACAATAATACAATATATATAAATATATATATATATATATATGTATGTATGTATGTATGTATGTATGTATATATATATATATATATATATATATCTATATATAGGTGTGTGTGTGCGTTTGTGTATACGATATTACTTTTACTTTTATGAATGTGTGTACAGTTCTTCATCTGCATTTTAAGGGTTTCTGGCAAGTGCATAATCGCAGATACACGCGATTCTATTCGCATCTGTACGTCACCAAATACACGATCCGCCATCGTTGCGTTTTTATCAAGGCCTAAGCAACCGCACCGCTTCACACCACACACAGGTGAATCCTATGGAGTGTGAGAGTGTGCTTGTGTAGGCCAACTGAACATACAAAGCATGCACATACCTGGCAGAGTATGCATGTCTGGTGGGTGCCACCTGAACATATAAACCATGCACATACATGGCAGAGTATGCATTTCTGGTGGGTGCCACCTGAACATATAAACCATGCATATACCTGGCAGAGTATGCATGTCTGGTGGGTGCCACCTGAACATATAAACCATGCACATACCTGGCAGAGTATGCATGTCTGGGGGGGCATGGCTGATCGTTGGCCGGATGAGGCATCCACAGCACCACTCTCCGCCTCTTCAGTCACCAGTTCCTGGTTGTTGTCCATGAACGCTGATTGTTGCGCCTGTATGTGTGTGTGAGAGAGTATAAACTAGGTTGACAACAGGGTATCAGGTTTGCTATAGGTTATTGATAATGGAGACTTACTGCTGTGTCATTGTATAGGGATGTCCGAATAAGTGTCCCATCACACAGGTCTGTGTAAGAGGCATGCACCTATTCGTAGGCCAAGCTTTCCTGGTTGTTGTCTCTGAACACTTTTGATCGCACCCACACGAAACAAGATCCCACCATGTGCCTATATGGATGAAAGCACGCGGGAATGTGCGCATCTCCTAAGCCCTTGCACACATAGCCCGAGATCGGCAGTACCTGTTTATCGACTATAAATTTTGAATGCATACATACATACATATATATATAAATATATATATATATATAAATATATATATATATATATATATATATATATATATATATATATATATATATATATATATATATATATATATATATATATATATAGTATATNTATATATATATATATATATATATATATATATAT